GCTCGAAAATTTTCTCATACCACAGTTAGACGAAGATGACCAAAAAGGACGCATTCACTTCCAGCAAGACGGCGCACCACCTCACTACCTCACAGAAGTCCGGGATTTCCTCAATAACCGTTTCCCAGGTCGGTGGATTGGTCGAACAGGGTCGATAGCATGGCCACCTCGTTCTCCAGATTTGACACCTCTCGATTTTTTCTTATGGGGTTTCATTAAAGATCGTGTGTATGTTCCACCCTTACCTGCCAATCTCACTGAGCTCAAAGCTCGAATCACCGCCGCAGTTGCAGAAGTGACACCGGATATGCTGGATCATGTTTGGCAAGAAATTGATTTCAGGTGGGATGTCTGCAGTATCACCAATGGCAATCACCTCGAACCAAAATGACTGTTTGAGGTAAAACTCGATTTGTTTTTCTACAAAATGACACCTCAACCGATTCTGTAAGCCTTCTGAATAAATTTCTATACACTTTCAAAGTTGTAAAGTCCTTTTAGAATCACTCTGTACAATGAGAAACATCATTATGGCTATAATTCACATTGAAATTTAACTCCATGGTGCATTGTCTACGTTGAATAGCTAACAATCGCTCAGCTAAACAGAAATGCTCACGCATTTTAAAGCACCAACAAGTTAATTAGTGTGTTTACAGAAACCTGTCACTGGTAATTATACTTAACCAGAACCAGATTAATCTGATCCACAACCTCTTGTCCTGTTTCTCTTAGATCATTTCAATATTAATTTTAAATGAACACAAAGCATCTTCTTGCACTGATTCCCGACCAAAATTTTATTTTATAATTTCGCCGTTACTTTATCTCTCTTACGTTCGAATATCTGTTTTTATTGTTAATTTGTCCTCAGACACACCTGAAATCTGTAACCTTCGTTCTAAATGAATGATCAAGCAAGACATAACCTTCAAACCTCTAGGCTTTTATGTCACGATAAGATAACCTCTCTTATTGCCAAATGCTATAAAATGTCTATATCGCTGTAACTCTTTGCATATATGATCTCTAAACATTGATTACAGGTACTCATTACACTTTCAATTTTAAAACCGCGAAACTTCTAATCAATAAAATGCATCATAATTTGTAAATTCATGTGCACACCTTAGGTATAATATGTGTGGACCTTCCTAATCTACATTTCTGAATGTGATTTATGTCATGTTGTAATGGTTGTCTAATTGTTTTGATTTCTTCTTGTAAGATCTTGGCTGATTATTCTACTCCGCTTGGAACTTCTTGAATGCGTTGTTGTGGGAAGCGTTTCTAACAATATTCGATTACTTGCATGTCATTTGTATCAATATCGAAATTTAACAGATTCACAACACTGCGCTGAAATACAATCAGACTCAAAAATAGGGTAGTAGAAAGCGAATCAACTTTCCGTTACTAAGGACCAGTGGCGGGCAATGAATCTTCAGGTCTCATAAAATACAGGATAATTATTCGCTAACCAAACGATTATCTTCCTCTGTATCAAGGAGTCAGATATTTGAGGGGGTATAAAGATGGAACTGTTATACGTTTCACCACGATTTAACATATCCTACCTTCTGACAGCCACTGAGTATCAACACAATCGTAGTCTGGGACATATTTCGTTAATTAAAAAAATATCTTTCGTATTATTTGCACAGATTCTGAGATAATAAATCAGATGAAAGTAAATTAAAGAGAAGACTTTGTCTCAACGGTTGTATTCCCCACATTTGACACGACTTCTGAACAAATATCATAACAGTATTTCGATAAAGAAATTTTTTTCTTGAACCAGTTGGGTATGATTCACAGAATATAAGCGGGAAACCAAAGACATCCATAGGAAATCCTTACAAATTAACTAAATACAAATACTAATAGTATCCGAAACTTCAGTCGTCAATACCATTAAGTATTACAGGCAAAACTATGGACCAGTTCAATCCAATCCACGTCCATTCCACATAATTAATCACGATACATTTTAATTGAATCTCACATTTCTTTCTTAGCCTTCCAAATAATCGTTTCCTACAGATATTCCACAATAATTATATACACGTTCAACATGCTGACACTATCATCAACACATTAATTTAACTGCCCCTAATTGCACGTTAAATGTTTGTATCAGAAGTTATTTGTTATGTTCTATCCCCCGGTCCAAAGTTACTTCCAACTCATCGTTTCGGATATTCTTTCCTCAGTTATTTGTTGTCAACTATTTTTGCAATGAACGTTCTTCACCCACAACCACGAAAACCAGTGGTAGGTCACGTGAATGTTTTAAATATTCAGTGAAAAATAGAGAACGCTTTCTGAGCTGAACAAAACAATCAATCTTGAGACAGGAAGTCTTTATGACGCTCGAGGGCTTGGTCTATCCTAATGAAACGGACCTTTCGTAAAGGTCAGCATCCGTTATTACGTCACAGCCAGCGATTATCACCCTACAAGACGGAATGCTCTCCCTTTGTAACCCTTCTGACCAAACATCCATCACTCGCCACCTGGGACCATTCATCTCTAAAACAGTCACTCTTCGGCTTGTAAAAAGTAAAGTAAAGCTGTCCCGCTATACGCCATGCAGGCGCTTGGGGGGAGTGAAGGTATAGCTCATACTCATTCTTGACCTCGGCACTAGATGGGGGTGAGTGGTCAGCATCATGCCCCGGCCGGCTTTACCCCCGGGAAAGGACCCCGGTACCCATTGTAGAGGAGGCTGGGTCGGCCCCAGAGCCGGTCTGGACGCAGAGGCTAGAGGAAAAATCATCTGCCGCCGTCGGGGATCGAACCCCGGTCGTCCAGCCCGTAGCTAGTCACTATACTGACTGAGCTATCCCGGCTCTAAAAAGGAAGGGGGCACCCAGGTATGAACCGGGGACCGCTCGAACTGCAGTCGAATGCTCTACCACTGAGCTATACCCCCAAATGACTACGAATCAAAAACAAACAGTTCTGAACTTCGAAAAAAAAGTGGGAGAGAATTTTTCACGCTTCTACGTCTCCTGACCTCATCTCCTATGCCTCCTGACCCCCCACCCCCCCCCCCCGCCCCCCCCCCCCCCCCCCCCCCGACCCGGTGTGGATCAACAAGACTGCATGACCCCTCATACCTCTCCTATTTAAGACTAACAAAAAATATACTATAAATACGTGAAATAACAAACGTCGAAAGAAAATCTTATACATGTGTAAAAATAATCTTCAGGTTTATGCCTTTTAGCAAATAAGAGTTAAACCTTATTATTCTTATAAACCTACATACCCTACATTAAATAAAGCTCTATTATAAAATAATTGTTCTCAGCGATAATATACAGCCCGCTGTACGTGAAGTAGAGGGTCACCTATATAATCGCTGTACGTGAAGTAGAGGGTCACCTACGTATATTTGGCTATAATTAAATATAGCGGACACCTCAATCGTCTGTATTTATAAACCGCACGTATTTATAAAAAAATAACATAATAGGTGTATGATGATTTAGAATAATATTTGTCTTTTAAAATAATATAAGGAATTAATAATACGGAACCATGAAGTGTATATTTCCGTGATACGTCTCAGTATGCCCTATATAGAGTTTAGCACAAATGATAAGGCTAAATTCTACAAACTAAAACAGCGGAAAATATGGGTCCCGGAATGTTATTTTTACAAGTTAAAGTTACAGCCCACTTTCTCTTTTTGAAATTTCAAAGAGTGGTCTAGTTTAATTCCACGACAGCAATCTGAGAAAATAAAAGGTTGTAAATCAGGAAGGAGACAGTTCATACAAATTTCTTCATTATCTGGCGTGTAGAACCGACCCTTCATATTTATGACAGACATTTAAATTAAGCCAAGTAGCCCATATTTTCCTGCCTCTCGTTCCCTGAAGCGATATTTGATTTTCAAACTTAACGGAAAAACTACGATGAAACGTAATTTATGATACAGTCCCTTATGTCCGATACATTTATGAATATACGACAAAACTGGCATTTTCCTTTTGAGGTTCAAGTCAATAATTCTATATCAGACAATTTTTATTTATTTTTTAAGTAGGTTTATATGTCAGTATTGGTAAATTCGAAAATGCTATGTATATTAAAATACATTATGATATTAAAGGAAGAGACGCCGTGTTAATACTTTAGTTCATAAGTAACATACACGTATTCCTTTAAAACGTGTTCATCACTGCTTCTCAACTCACCAAAATCACCTCATACCTCAACCAGAACATTATGAATCATCGTTCGCTCGGTGGAAGTTCACTCTTACCTGAAAAAGACAGAAAAAGCATATCAGTTTGCGAATTAATAACTCGATACACAGCAATACCATTACTGCTTTTGAATTCATAGCTACTAAGAGGATCATTTGTGTAAGGATGTACCAATTACTGATGATTATGAAGTAATATTCAGTCGTGGCCCTGAATTCACACAGTATATATTACCATAAACACACAAATAAAAGCTCTTAAATAAATAGGTTATTAAGTTGTAGACTGCGTTAACATATTAGGACAATGTCGAGAAGCGAGCTCTTGTACACAAGGTAAAAAACTTTCGATTTCCATAAATGACAGGACATATCTTGTGAACATTACGAAAAAGGTTAAACTCTTCCAAGATACTGTTCATGTTCATTACGTTCTGTTCCTAAACCCCAAAAATGAATTAGTTGTTTCACTAGGAACACAATTTGTTATTTCTGAAAGACCAACAGATGTAAATACAATACCAATTTAAATTTTAAACGGCCTGAAGTTTTAATTCATACACAACATCCAACAGAAGCTTAATTAATGACTGTTAGACTATAGGCGGACGGGAAC